TCCATAATCAGCTTTAATGCATTGGATCTTGAAGAGGAATTTCCTCTGGTTTTTGAATTGCTGGAGTTTTGAGAAAGCCTTCTCAAACTTCTCCTGAGATTCTTTGGAAATGTTTTTCTTCCATTTATTTTGTTTTCCCTCTAGCTGAGCTTGCAACACTTTCCTCAGGCTAGAGGGTTTCAGTTTGTATCCCATTAGAATCTGGTCCTTAGTGGTTGAAGTAAGGCTCATGCATATGAGCATGTTTAAACTGGAAGGAGAGCCACATGGGGAAGACAGAAGTGTTTTCTGGATGTCAGAGGCCTCCAACCTGACCCTGTGTGTTTACTTGTAAAACTGAAGGCCTTTTCTTTTCCTCCTAGGTGAAGAATGTCATCTACCATGCTGTTAAAGATGCAGTTGGGATACTGAGAGCGAATGAGTCCAGCCTTAGCAGACCATAAAGCAGAAAGCCTTAACCACACACACTATGAAACAGAAGCGTTGGCAGCTGTTTTAACTACTCAGTCAGGACCTCTGAGGACTTTGAGATTATATGAATGTTACCTCATCTTCCTTTCAGCAGTACCAGAGGATCGTGGTACTATGTTCTGTGTATTCTTCCAATGTTTACAAACCTGATATGTATATGTAGTAATATGTATGGACTGTGGCATACTGTGAATGCTCAGTTGCAATAGAACTTTATATGGAGTTGCTCTCCAAACTGTACAAAATACCTCCTATAGAACTGTCAGAAACTATTCCAAATTATTAATTTGAAAAATACTATTCAAAACATTGTAAAGCTTCAATTTTTAAAATTTATTTTGGGGTGGGAGGGAGTACCGAGTCACCTGATTTAATAACCAATTTACATGAAAATAAGAATGCAGTTCTGAAACTTCACATTAACATAGAACTAGCATTTAAAAGTAGCTTTAAGCTATTGTATAGTAACATAGAGATGGGGGTTAACCATCTTTAGGTAAATGTATTTAAATTTCTAAATGTTAAAAGACTTTTAATCAAATGTCTCTGTTTGAAACTGCTCTTTAATTTGAACTGATGTTTGATTCTCTGGTTTTTAACACTGAATGGTCTACATAAAATTCTTCTATTTCAGATATTGTTCCTTGCTTGGCTTCTTCAATTGACTCTGCAAAATGTAATTAATGCTTCACAATGCAAAGGAAGATTCTGTATCCAATACTGTTCATACTATTTTTAAAGTCTCTGAAGGCTTAGAGGATTGAATTTAGTGACATCTGTTTAGAGCTTTTTTGGTTAACCCAAAGCATGACTTGGCTTGACCCTTGCTTCTCAGCTATTGCCTGTTCTAAGGTCTGTGTCAAATGAGCTTTGCATCTTCAGCCTTAAATGGCACACACTTTGCAGCAAAATTACTTGGACTGAGAACATAATAAACTAGGCAGAGAGGGGTCAAGAGTGAAAATGAGCATCTCATCTAATGAGATAAGCTGAGATAAAATGAACCTTTCTGTTCTCCCCAGGACTGATATGCACAGGGTAGCTGTTTGAGCTAGGCCTTGGGGAGACCTCTTAGTTAGCCAAAAGTCATTTTTCTGAACTCTGTGTAACAAGCTGACAAACTCTGCAAATTCCCCTCCCCACAGTACTTCACTTGCTACTCTTGATCAGCTCCCACTGTTCCAAGTCTCTTAAGGTGACAGGATTTTTTTCAGAGAACCTTCCTCTTATCCATCCCTCAGTATCCAAAGTGGCTGCAGTGACCTGGAGAGAGCAGGAATCTCTTAATCAAGTTAAAGTGGGCTCTTAAAAGGTTTGTAACTGAATCATAGAATTGTCAGAGTTGGAAGGGACCTCTAGAGATCATCCAGTCCAGCTCCCCTGCTAAAGCAGGATCCCCTAGAGCACATTACCCAGGGTTGCATCCAGGTGGGTCTTGAATATGTCCAGAGAAGGAGACTCCACACCCTCCCTGGGCAGCCTGTCCCAGGGCTCTGTCACCCTCACCCTAAAGAAGTTTTTCCTCATATTTCCATGTCGCTTCCCATGTTCCAGCTTGTGCCCATTGCCCCTCGTCCTGTCACTGGGAACTACTGAGCAGAGTCTGGCTCCATCCTTCCTGCTCCCACCCTGAGAAACTTGTAGGCATTGATAAGGTCTGTCCTCAGCTTTCTCTTCTCTAGCTAAAGGGTCCCAGCTCTCAGCCTTTTCTTCTTTCTTTCTTATGAGATGCTCCAATCCCCCAGTCATCTTTGTTGCCCTCTGCTGGACTCTTTCCAGTAGTTCCTGTCTCTCTGGGATCCCAGTTCAAGAACTGGACTCAGTTCTCCAGATGTGGACTCAGCAGGGCAGAGCAGAGGGGGAGAATGGCCTCTCTTGACCTACTGGCCACATTCTTCCTTATGCAACCCAGGATTCCATTGGGCCTCTTGGAAGCAACGTTCATGGATCATTTACTGTCTACCAGGAATCCCAGATGCTTCCCAGAACTCCTTTCCAGAAGCTCCACCCCAAGCCTGTATTGGTGCATGTGTTCAGGGAGAACTTCCCTCCACCTCTACTTGCTGAGGCCTCTAGGTGACAGTAGCTACTGGCCTGCTTCTGGTTGCTCCAGCTGGCTGCCATAAGGAAAAGCACTAGACCTTGAATTTGGCATTCTGTGCTTCAACTAGTTAACAGCCTTAAAGGCTGAAAGTTCTCTTGCAGTGTCAAGTCTGAAGTAAATTAACTCCAGCACTCCAGTTGCTTTTCCTGGAGCCAGCTGGAGTGTCTGTGGGGATGAGGTGCTTACCTCCCAGCCACTGATACTATCCACACTTAGGTACTTGCAGACACATGAAAAGACCCATTGTTGGAGTTGGGAGTGTTCCTATTGAGACACTGTTGTTCAATCTGGTTTTATTGCAGCTGTACCTACCCACTCTTACTTAAGACTCTTTAACTGCTTTTTATTTTCTGAGCTATCTTCTCTAGATTTTTAAGACCACAAGAACCTAATTGTTCCATTTGCTGATTCTTGTTACATTTGGGTGGAGCTGGAACTCTTGAATTACACTGTTCTCCAAACAAGGGCCCAGCCCTGGAGCACTGGGGTTACTTGCTGTGCTGTGCCCGTGTTTGCCACCCAGGGCCACCAAGGTGAGCAGTGCTTGGCCTCTCCTGGCTTCTTGTGGCTGACACTGGGAGCTGCTGGACACCATCCAGGAGGCTGTGTGCCTTGTCTGTGACTCTGCACTTGCTGTCAGAACACACTTGATAGTTTTCTTTTGCTAAGAAACTCTTCCCTTTGCCTGTTAGGCTTCTGTGGCACAGACAAGTTCAGGTGAGAGATGCTGTGGGCTCTTCCTTTGCAAGCTGCCTGCTGTGAGTCACCATGCTACTTTTGCCTGAAGTTTTTCCCTGAGAAAAGCCACACCTCTCCTTTTGTTTTGGTTTCACTTCACTCTAAAAATAGGCCACTTAAGCAGCAGATGGCTTTTTACCACTTGTGGGATAGTGAAGTGATAGTACCTGGAATGAAGTGATGCTCCCTTCTGGTGCAGTGCTTCAGTGACTCACAAAATTCCAGATGAAGAGCTCTGCCTAGTGCCTGTAAAACTGGATTTGCAGGTGAGCAGAGTGAGTGACAAATGCCACTGTGCAGCAGCTGTGATCAGCCACAGCTCTCCTCAGAAGCCTGGCTGGTACCAGCTTGAATTGTTACCCATCTTGGAAGACTGAAAAAGGTAATTACATGGGATCAGGGTCAGTTTTGGTCCCACACCTGATCAGCTTGCTGCACTGCATGTTCCCCTCTTGGCACAGCCCAAGGCAGAAGAGCCTGGTGCCTGCCTCAGGGTCTAGCAGAACTACCCTAACACCGCCCTGAGTCAGGGGCCACCTCTGCCAACTGATTTCTCATCACTTTCATACCCTGTTTTAAGCTTGGTTCTTTGAGCTGCCTGTCCCCCCCATTGGACTCCTTTTTCTCCACGTGTGTAGGATGCTGAGTAGAGAAGACATTGCTGCTGCCTTGTGTTCACTGAGAGGGAGGGGAAGAGCTCCTTTGCTGAAGGTCCCCTGCCTTCCCCCAGGCAGGGAGGGTAACCCTGCCTGCCCAAGAGCTCCTCTCCCTTCTGCCCTTAGTGCTTCATGGGCCCTTAGAACAGACTGGGCTGACGGAAGCAAAACCACTGATGGTGGTATTATCCCTTCTGTGTGCAACCAGCCCATCTCCCAGGGTTGCTCCCATCCAGCACGGAGCTAGCAGCGCTGTTTTGCCTCTTAGGAGTATGACTTACATGTGTCTTGCAGTAAGAAATGAAGAAAAAGGCTTCTGGAGCTGGCCAATATGAAAGGGCTTATGCAGGTCTGGAAACCTGATAGCCTGCCGTTCTGGGAGCCAAGGAGGGAGCAGTCCCTGGCAGCACCAGGCAGTGTCGCTGTGCCTGAAGAGCAGCTCTTGCCGGAGGCAGAACTGTCCCCGGAGGAAAGCCACGCAGCAGGACTGGCAGCCTGAGCCTGCCGTTGCTAAATAAGGCTATGCCTGGTCAGGGCTGCAAGAGAGCAGTGATTTAACAGCTGCGCTGATGGAAAGCTTTTCTGTAACTCTGCTGTGAAGGCCCTGAATGTGCTAAAGACCAAAAAATAAAGGTGCTATAAACCCAGAGGGAACTGTTAGAGGTGGATATTGTTTGGGAAAAGAGTGTGAAGTGATGCAAACTAAACTGATGCACGGGAGCAACTGTTAAAAGCAGCTTTAATAAAACTTGTAGTGATTCCAAAAAAACAAAAATCTTACCATTGAAGGTTTTTGGTAGCAGATTAAGCCAAAGTGCCTTTTAGTGAAAGATGGTACTCAAAGGTAAGAACGTATTTCAGGACTTTACATCTGAATATACACCACATGACACCACCACTGCCATTTCACCACAGCCTCTCACAGGGGAGAGGGGCTAAACAGAAAGATAAGCTCTACAGACTGCACTCCCCAAGAAGAAGTATATTACAGTAGTTTCTTGGAGAATACACTCCCCAGGAAGAAATACATATATATATATATTACATAAAATACTCTGACATACGAAGTTTTGCATTTGGAAGGTAGGACAGAATATCCCATTGCAAAAAACAAAAAAGAAGAGCAAGGCAAACTGTACAGGTGTGTCACCCTTAGCTCCGCAGGGTGGCCAGGCGCGACTGCATGGCTTCGATGTCCTCCTCCTCATCCACAGCAGCTGCTGCTCCCATGGGCTCAGGTTCTGGGAGATCATCTGGGACTTTACTAGGTGCTTTACCCAAGGCCCCTGCAAATAATTAATAAGCTCATTAGGGTGCTCCAGGTCTTTGCTTAATAATTAGCAGCTTTCAGGTGTATGTATTTAAAATAATTCACTTGTGGTAAAGGTCACATACAAGAACTGTTTGACTTTATCATAGAATAGTTTGAGTTGGAAAGGTCCTTTAAAGGTCATCTAGTCCAACCCCCCTGCAGTCAGAAGGGGCACCTCCCACTAGACCAGGTTGCTCAGACCCCATCCAGCCTGACCTGGAATGTGTCCAGGGATGGGGCTTCTACCACCCCCGCTGGGCAACCTGTGCCAGGGTTTCACCACCCTCACAGTAAAGTATTTCTTCCTTATATCTAGTTTACATCTACCCTCTTTCAGTTTAAAGCCATCACCCCTTGTCCTATCACAACAGGCTCTATTAAAAAGTCTGTCCCCACCTTTCCCCCTTTAAGTACTGACCACCCAAGATAAGGTCTCCTCGGAGCCCTCTCTTCTGCAGGCTGAAGAACCCCAGCTCTCAGCCTGTCCTCATAGGAGGGGTGCTCCAGCTCTGACCATTTCTGTGGCTTCCTCTGGACTTTACCAGCCCTGGGCTGGTGGCTGCTGCCTCAGCAGTGACTTGTCAGTCCCTCCTGAGCCTCTGTGCTCCTGGGGCTCCTGCTGAGGATGCTCCAGCATGCTGCCTGCTCCCACTGCCTGCCCAGCAGGAAGGGAGCTGCTCCCAGCCAGGAAACAGGATGGAAGAAACAAGAGAGGGCACCAAGCCAGGGGCAGGGCACAAGGTAACAGCAGGGCAGGAGCTGCTGAACTGTGCTTTCTGTGTCTAACAGCTGGACACAGCTCCAGGTCTTACTGGTCACACCACAGTTTCCAGGAAATTCAGGTAAGAAGCACCAGGCATTATCTAATTCAAACAATCAGTAGGTCATCACTTCATAAGCTGTATGGCACAAGCTGGGGGGTTGCTTTGCATTTTGGTTTCAGGGTTTTTTTTGTTTGTTTTGTGAGGATATTTTTCCCTCCCAACAACTCCAGGTATTATCAGCATTTTGCAGCCAGGAATCACAGCACAGCCTAAGACTCAAGGCAATGCAGCTGAGTTTTTACTTCCTGGCTTCATTAATAACAGTGTCTCTCATCAATCATATAAATTCCATCTCATTAAAAGGATCCACTGTACAGACAGACATGGATCTGTCACAGCCCCAGCTACAGCACTGCAGCAGCATCAACTGATGCATCATTACTTAGGCTTTACTGAACCCACTGGCCTTCTCAGTATTCCCTGAGAAACCAGTCTGATGGAGCATTCTTTGCTGTTGGCAAAGGCAGGAACACCTCTGGAAGGGCACAGTCAAGTCAGAACAGATGAAGGTTCAAACTGCCAGGCAAGGCTCCCCTCCCAGCAAACACACACACTCACCAGCTGTAATTTCAAAAAGAATTTTGTCAATTTCCATCTCAGCTTCCTCTTCCATTTCCTCCTGATCCTCCAGGCTTTCAAAGGTGTCCTCCAGCATTTCCTCTATAATACCAGCCTAGCAGAAGAAACAGGCAGGGAGTGATGTCCTTGGAAACAGCAGAGTAAGAGGACATGCTTCCTACTTTGGGGATCAGGTTATGCCTTATCCAGGCATTTAAAGTTCAAGCTTTCCAGATCAGGGCTCTCCTGTTGCAGGAGGGTTGCCCAGCATGCCTGCCTACACTTACTGCACAGTTCTGTACAACTGCTGCACAGGAAAAATGTAAGAAACTGAGGATTAAACACATTTTCTCACTTTGAAACCCTCAAGCTATTACTCCTTGTTGTTGCATGTCTGAACACTGAACCCAGCTTGCTCCAGGTGTGCAGTTGTATTTAACACACTTTGCTCATGAAGCATAAATTGTAAAACATGTTGTAGAAGCAGTGTTTGACACAGCTTCCCTTCTTCCTGTCCTGTGTTAGAAAACAACCCTCTGCAGGGCCTCAACCAAATTGTTCTGGTGCACAGTTGTTAAACAGTTAAGTTGAAACAAGTTGATCTGACCTAAACAATCTTGAGTGCTAAGGTGTGTGAGTGGGTGGGAGCAAAATAGTTGAAAATAGCCACACTAGAAAATTAATATACTTTAAATCAAAGCGTGTTCATTAGGTGGAGACACTAAATTCTGTGTTTTAAATCCAGTGTCAGACCAGCCATCTTGCCTAAGATGGGACTTTCACCTTCCCACTCATAACAGGCAGGGGGGGGGTCTTTCTTAATTAACATTTTCATCCCTGAAAGCAGGAAATTCATCTTCCCCTGGCACAGACAGAAGCTTGGGGATACAGGCAGTCACTGGGAGCAGGCCTGAGTCCTGCTTCCAGACTTGTTCTTATGACAAGATGATCAAGCCACAACCACTCTGTGTGGGGACCAGCTCTCCTCCTCTTCCATCCTCAGCCTGAGCAGCTTCAAGCTTCACACCAAACATGTTGCAGGTTTGTGTTTTCCCCACAACAGCAACTTGCTGTAAAGTCCCCAGCTATGAATGTGTTACTTTAATTTCTGCTTGTCTGAACTCACACAAGCCTCTTGACAAAGGGGCCATCTCAACACATGCACAGCACACCAACCAACACCTATTGCTCACCCAGGTCTCATTTATGTCGCAGATCTTACCTTCATCATCTCTTTGGACAACTCCCTCATTGTTGCTTGGATTTCAGGGACTTTCACTAGATTTTGCATAGCTTTCATGACTTCTGTGCTCTTCTGCAATGAACCTGCTACTCTCAGGACAGCTGTGGAGGAGAGGCATAGAGAAGCTTGAATGATCCCTGCACCACTGAAAGCAGAGAAATTACATCCTCCCTACATGGTGAGAAATTTGTTTGCATGTAGGCAATTTCATTTGAAAAAGAAATGGACACCCCACTTTTCAATTCTTGTTGTCTGCCTTCCTGAAACAGCTTTAACTCCAACCTACATGGGGAAAAGTTAGTTTCTAGCACAGACACCTGTATGACTACCTGGAGCAACCCAGATTGCCTGTAGAGATTTCCACCCACTTGCACTCCAGTTCATAAAGAGATCCCTGAGGAGCTCCTGCCTGTGTCCCTCAGCAGCCAGAGGTCTCACTGAGGGTTTCATTGGTGAAGCTCCAGTCGAGCTCCACACCTAACTGATGACGAAATTAGTGACCTGACACTGGGGCATGGAAGTTAACCCTGGCAGAAGGTCCAGTGCAACAGTCTGACAGCTAACAGTAAGTTAAAAAAACAATACTAAAGCAGATAAGCTGGATATAAGTGTAATTTAAGCTGAATTTAACAATACTCTCCCCAGAGACTGTTATAATAATGTAGTTTATAAGCTCTTCTCGTATATGTTGATATACCAAGATCAAAATGCAATAATTAAGGGTACTTTGAGGTTGTTGAATTGTGCCATCTAATTCTGCAGCTTCCTACTCACGGAGAACTTACCTGTTTCTATAAAAAATGGTCACTCCTTAATGAAGCAAAATGAAGGTACAGGATACATTATTTTTTATATTAATAGTTAATTTCTTTAAGAACATTACATTTGGAATATTAACAAACAACAGAATTCTTGCCATTAGTGGTAATTTCCCAAGATGAAGCAAGTTAATACAAACCCCAGATTAAATTCTAGATTCATTCCT